TTTAGAGGAAAATGGCACAAAGTCGGTAAATGCAGGACTTGTCCCTGTTCTCAATGGAGCTCATGGTAAAACTCCTGCTTGATTTCAGTTGGCCTCTCACCATGGATCTGACACAGTCTGCCTGTGGTGAGCCAGCTCCCCAGCAGCTGCTAATTAGCAACCTTGTGCTAATCATCAGCCCCTGGCTCCAAAATCTCTAGTCTGTGTGATAGTGACTAACACCAGAAGAGCAAGCTGAAGCCTCATGTCAGTCCCTGCTGTCTTCTCACCATGTTTTTCCCCAGACTTGTGCTGTGCTTGTGCAGCGACCCTCTCCCCGTGCAGGACGCGCGGGGCGGTTGGGTTCCACACAAGGTTGGCCTTCAGCACAGGTTTGCGTTGGCAGCGAAGGTCCCGTTGGTGTTTTCCTGCCTTTCTTCACCGGAGGGCTTGCTGTGTTCTCGCAGTGCCCGTCTCCCTGCTCGGCTGTTGCCTCTGGGCTGTTGTTGTGATGCGGCTGTTGCTCTCTCCCGCAGGCGGGAGTGGGAGATCCGCCTGCAGGAGACGCTGGGTCCGCACTACGTCCTGCTCTGCTCCGCGGCGCACGGCGTGCTCTACATGTCCGTCTTCATCCGGAGGGACCTCATCTGGTTTTGCTCAGGTGTGTGGTCTGGTATGAGCTGGGCGGTGGGGAAGCGATAGGACTGCTGCCATGGGGTGTCCTGTCCTTTTCCCTGGCACTCTGTTTCTCCCAGCTTCCCTGTCTCCAGAGGCCTCTCTGTAACACTGCTTTTCTCTTTCCTTGCAGAGGTGGAATATGCCACAGTGACAACTCGAATTGTGTCTCAGATCAAAACCAAGGGAGCTCTGGGGATCTGCTTCACGTTTTTTGGGACCTCTTTTCTCTTCATTACCTCCCATTTCACATGTGAGACATTTATAAGCTTGGTAGAAATGTCCTGAGGGAGGGAGGAATGGGACAGCTTTACGAGAGCAAACAGCTGCAGAGGGAATACAAAAATGAACTGTATGAATTTGTGTCCCTTTCTGCTTACTTGCTGTCATTGTCTAGTTCCTTCTGCTCCCCAGATCAGGGAATTATGTTTTACATGTGGAAAATGTCTATTATCCTTTTGACATTACTGTTATAACGACAAATGACAATGATGCATGATTTTCATATTGGGGTTTCTGTCTTTCAGCTGGGGACAGTAAAGTGAATGAGAGGAAGATGGACTACAGTAAAACCATTCAAGCCCTCGCACTTCCCAAGAATGTTCCGGACACAAATCCATATCGATCCAGTTCTAGTAAGCATAAACCTTGGTCGTGTGTGAGTGCAGGTGAACAGTGTTTGGGCTTTGCCTTTTGCCCTACACTAAGGAGACAGAAAGGGCCTGCTCATCCGAGACGGTTGGTCTGAATGCCATCCGAAACTGCTGGCCAGGTTTTTACTGTTGTTCCTTAATACTCTGCTGTTAACATGACATCTAGATATGTAACTAAGCTGCTGTTCTAGGAATATGAATTTATTCATCTTCAGAATAACATTAACTTTCTCTGATCAAACTGTTTTGGGGCCTCACAGGTAAAGTTTGGTCTGTTTTTCAGACCAAAATTGTGTTTTCTGCTCAGAATCAGGGAAGAAAAGGGTTTCTTCTTGTTCATTTGTTTGTTTTCTCACGCCTTCAAATTTTTTCTGTACTGACACTCCTGGCTTGTGTTTGCAGGTGATGTCACAACTCGGTTTGATGAAGTGTTCTGGTTTGGTGATTTCAACTTCCGACTAAACAAGGACCGTGAGGCCGTGGATTCCATCCTGAAGCAGAACCTGAAAAAGGACATGTCCAAACTACTGGAGTATGACCAGCTTATTAGTGAAATGAGTAGGGGTGAGGGACAGCTATTTTTCTCCCTGGCCTCCAGGAACAAAGTTTGCTAGGGACATGAATATTCAACAGCCACTTTTCCAAAGACCTCCACTGCTTTCTGGTGTTAAGATTGCTTAAATAAAAGAGAAGACAGCAGATGTCCAACCTGTTGACAGTCAGTAAGACTTCTGCATTTTCAGACATTTACGTGTCATGTAGTCTCCCAAGCAATTTATTGCTCTTTCTCTCTGACTCCCAGTTGCACCAGTCTGCAGTTTCTAGCCAGCAATAGTTAAGCAGTGTTAAGTAAATGCACAGTGTGTGCCAGGCCAGTGGGAAAGGAGGTATTTGTTGCTCATGCCTTTTCCCCCCTCCTCTGCAGGGTCTATTTTCAAAGGATTCCAAGAAGCTGACATTCATTTCCGTCCTTCCTACAAGTTTGACATAGGAAAGGACAGCTACGACACCACTTCCAAACAAAGGACTCCTTCTTACACGGTAAGAGGTGCTTTTGGAGCAGCATTCTCAGAAAGGCTGCTCGGCCACATACGCCTCCAAAGGGGATTCCCACCTGTGCTGAAAAGCTGTCCTGGATGTGCTCCCTGGCACAGCTGGTCTGCATAAGATACAATTATAGACAATTAATATTCTGAGAATTAATATTGCTCAAGGGCACTGTGCTTGCAGAGCTGGTTTGGGAGGAAGGATCCTGAGCACAGGGCAGCTTGGGCACAGACTGCTAGTCCTACTTTCCCCTGCCTTGCAGCCTGACACAGTATGTTATCCACTGTGCTCTGAGACGGGCACGCAGCTGTTGGTGAGTTTGGTGAGGATTCCTCATGAATTTATTATCAAAGTCCCTTAATTCTGCTCGGTGGTGTGATAAGTGAACACGTTTGTGTCTCGTGAGCCAGTACCTCTCTCCAGCAGGAGCAAAGGGAATTACTATCAGTTTCCCATCTCTCCCTACCTCCCAGGATCGAGTCGTGTACCGGAGTCGGCACAAGGACGACATCCATGCTGTCAAGTACTCGTCCTGTCCCGGGATCAGAACGTCGGACCATCGGCCTGTGTTTGCCCTGTTCCGTGTGAAAGTGAGGCCTGGCAGAGACAAGTGAGTGCTCTGCTCGCGCCGTGCCGGCCCCGGGGACCCCGGGGAGAGGCTCCCGCTCCAGCCTTGTGCCCTCCCAGGAGCCTCTGAGAGGGAATCAGTCCCCTGTGGCTCCCTGCAGCCTGATTTGTGCTTTACACAGTTCACTGTCAGTGGTCAGAGCAATTAAGAGCACTTAAACCACACAGCGCAGATCTGAAATCTCTACTGCCACCTCCATTAATCCATCTGAGGAAGGAAAATTGAGTCCATTGCAATTTATTATGAATCTGTGTTTTATCAGAGATGCAGTTCTCACTACTTTTTCTGTCAGCATGGACAGATTTCCTTTTCTGTTCCTCTTTCCCCTTTCAGAATTAATCCTGTTTTCCCTTCTGAGAAGCGATTCCATTTCACCATAGTGTGTGCAGTATTTTCAGATCTTCCAGCTGTTTTAATATCCCAACTGTGGGCTGTGGTCCTGGTAATCACTGAAATTTAGTGAAAATCTCTTTTCTGTGATTAGCACGCTCAAGGCATTTGAGACCCAGGTATCTAGAAAATGTAATTCCATTCACCTGTTCTCTCAGAGCAATAAGTGGTGCTTTAAGAAGACAAGAATGACTTTTCTGGCCTTTGTTGTATAGTCTAGTTTGGCCGTAGGAAGAACGAGTTTGTGCCCTGATCTTGTTGCTTGTGTTTCTGTTGTAGCATTCCCCTTGCCGCGGGGCAGTTTGACAGAGAGCTCTATTTAATCGGAATAAAGAGACGGATTACAAGGGAACTTAAGAAACGGCAAGAGCAAAAGGACCAAAAATCCAGCAGCGTGTGTAGCATTTCCTGAGCCGAGGCCTCTGCAACCCTTGGGCTAGAGGTGCCCTGAAAGAGGATTTCGGGCCACGACCGAGTCTGCAGGGAATTGTTGTCTGGTTAAGCACCTCTGGCAGTTGCTGTGGCTTGTGGAGAATGTCCTAAACCTCACCCTGGATTCATCTGCATGAGCTAATCCACGCAGCTCAAGCGCTTTTGCTGAAGAAAAGAGTGGGTTATTTAGGACATCCACACCAACGGGCTGGCTGGTTTGTTTTTAACCCTCTCTTCTCTGGCAGCAGCCCGGGGCAGTGTCTTTGTGCTAAGATGACTCTAGGCAGCCCTTGGGATTGACAGGGCTGGGGGCAGATGACAAAATTCCACACAAGGGTGAAAACGTGGGTTTGTCCGAGTTAATCTACTGTGTGTTCTCTTCCTTATGTGCAGCCAAATGTATGGAATTCTATAAAATGCTTAACAGGGACCAGTTAGGGAAGTTGAGCAGCTTTGTCTGAGAACGGTGTTCCCAGGTGGGGCTCTGGAGCAAGACCTCTGTGTTTGTACGACTGTATGTTCCACATGTACGAGCACTCCCTTCCATTCGTGAGCTACAGGCCTGCTGGTACTAAGGGGGTAAATAGGAATTTCTCAAACCAGTAAATTTCTTCCATTGTTGAGACTTCTGGAAACAATCCCTTCCGCCAATATTTGTCCTCCCTAAAGGGGATAAAATTTTGCTTGGCCTTCAGCAGCAGAACACTGTTGTGGCAAACAGTGTTTGAAATACAGCTATTAAGTAAGTGATGCTCCACCAAAGTCATTAAGGTATTGCAGAACACTGTTGTGGCAAACAGTGTTCGAAATACACCTATTAAGTGATATTCCACCAAAGTCATTAAGGTATCGAGTACTAAGGAAGTATCCAAAGAAATTGCAGCAAGTCAGATCAGCTTACTTCCATTCCCTCTGTTTCTATGAGCTAAGTCCCATTGGGTTTTATTTTCCAAATTCAGTAAACTGTGCGTAAGTACTGTTTTTGAAATAATGTCCTCTTAAATGTAAAAATATTACAGGCACCAGCCTGGGGCTGGTATAACTACAGTTAATGACAGAAAAACTCTTTGTGGGCACAAATTGGATGGATTAGCCATCTCCTACAGCAAAGGATGTGAAGGAAGTGCTGCTAACTATGCAACCTGTCCACGACAGAGCTTCTGTTCTGCGGTACAAATATTTACAGCGTCGGCCTGTTGTAACCATCAGGTATTTGGATTTCCTTTCTTTTTAAAGGAATAAAAATAAATTAATACTGTACCTCGCATGAGCCCCCTCTCTTGTTGCAGGGCTGTGAGAGCTCGAGCGCTTTGCCCGGGTGCTGCACGTTCACCCTGTGTGACCAAGCCTGGTTTCCCAGTTCAAGGAACGCAGCCCTCGGCTGATGAACGGCAGAACTGCTAGTTACTGCTCACTCCAGTCATTCAGAAGTCTCTTTTATTTTCTTTACAAACACACACACAGCCCCTGCCTGGGACAGAGGCACATAGAGACTTCCATAATGTGGGCTCCCTGGAGCTCCCCTACTCCCAGCTGCATGGGGGCAGTTATGGGGCAGAGGGGACAGGAGCTGCTCGCAGGGTCCTGCTCCCAGCCCCACTGCTCCTTAAGCCAAGCCCCAGGCCCCTGCACTGCAGCACACTGGGGCTTCAAGGCCACAACAGAGGGATCTCCTCTCCTGTGGGCCACGGTTTCTCCAGGATATCAAATGTGTTTCACTTAGCTTTGTGTCTGTAATGTGACTTTATTATGCTCTCTCCCTCCTCACTTGGTTGACTTGTAACTTAGCTCCATCTTTGCTGTGAGACTGGCAGCTCTGGCTTTTGTTCAAAAGACCTTAAACCATCTGAGGGACAATTTGAAGGTGGTGGGGTATAAATATAAGATGCAGCAACACCTCTTTTAGTACCTTCTTGTTTGGATACTGATTTTGGAGTAAAAGCACTTCCCTCTTCAGCATAATCCACTTGCAAGGGAAATAATCTAAAGAATAGGATTGCTTCCACTTTAGAATAAATGTCCACATAGAATTATGCAGGCCCTCTCTGTATATGGATTCCCCAGAAACTATTTACACTCTAGGTCTATTTTTCTTTGAGTTTTTTCTAGCAAAATTATGAAGCTTCTTCCAGACCTATGGTTTCAGAGAGGATTACAGCAGGTAAGTTACACTGACAAAATGATCCATGATTTCTCTAATGAAAAACTAGAATGCAGAGAACTTGTTGTCTAAATATGCAGGGATAATAATGAATATTTTCCAAATTAATTCTGAACAAATATTTGTCCACCTTGATATTGGCTAGAAGTAGTTGAATTTGCATGTGTAAGACAAACCTTTTAACAGCATTTTCAGTCTTCCTAAGCCCCCCAAAAGGCTGGTCTTGCACTATGCCTTAGTGGTAACATACCTACTCCTCAGATGCGGTGCTTTCACCTCCTGGTAGACATTCTGGCTTGCAGTGTTCTCCCCAGCGCCCAGACAAGGCTGCATCCAGCCACCTTCTGCCATAGATCTACTCAGAAGGTGAAAAATACTCATGCAGAGCCAGGATGGCTCATAAACCCACAACACAGAGCTCTTCTCAGTCCAATATTCCATTTTTTTTTCAGCAGCTTGTTCAGCTGTAGCATAATCCCGTGTTTGCACAGCATGCCTGGAAAGGTATCGGGGGTTGCCGCAATGTTACAATCCAACATGTGGGTTTTTTAAAAAAAAAACAAAAAACAAAAAGCAAGTTCATGGCAGTCGGCCGCGGCCCGCGCTGGTTTATC